CCCACTCCAGGGTTCTCTCTCCGCACTGAATGCTTCCCTGACCCACTGAGCATTACATACTATTCAAAGGAGATACAATGTATTAAACAGCAATCAATTTAAAAAATAAGGAAAAATGGGAAAGGTTAAAGTAAAACACATAACCCCGCTCTGTGGCATGGGGACATCACAAACAGCAGTCTCTGGAATGTAAGGGAAGTTCACAGTCTATTCCTAACATGTGCCAGGCCTCCTTCTCAGGCCCTGGCTATGCTGCAGGGATGTTACTGGTCGGACACTCGCTCTGGCTGTGACCACATGCCTTCAGGCTCTAGGTGGCAGGACTCTTCTTCCCAATGTCGGCCCCCTGTCGGAGTTACGATCCCGCTCCAAAGTTGCACCAGCCATAAAGGACAGCTGTTATCTTGTTACTTTTAGAATAAACTCTTTGCCTCTGGATGTTTTTCTACAATTAGCACAGACCTTGCAAACTGGCAGGCCTGTTTCAATTAGCACAAATTTAGCAGGTTGAGAGAGCAGGCTGAGAGACATATTTCTTTCTAATGGTCAGGACAAATCCAGGGTCTGTTCTGGAATAATTCTTTCTTACAATTTCCACAACATAAATGTTATTAATTGTTACTTTTAATCCAACAATTGTGCCCCTAGTCCTTTTCAAATAGGAACAGAACTGCATAAGAAACAGACATGTAGATGGAGATTTAATTCTTCGCTTTTATTAGATCCCCATTAAATATATATATATTGAAAAAGGAATTGGCCTTTTCCTGGAGACAAACAAACCCTGAACATCTTCTAGCAGGATGTTGTGGGAGACTCTCAAGGCCTATTTGAGAGATCGAATTATTAGTTTAATGACTGCCAAGAAGAAGAAATATGAAGAAAATTTGAGTGGCCTGAAAAAAAAAAAAGTAAAAGAGCTTGATTTGTCTTATGCCATAGCCCCATCTCCAGATTCGTTGTGATCCCTGATCAATTATAGTTATGAACTCAATGAGCTGCACTTGGCACAGCCTGAACTCACCCTATTTTGACTCAATAGTATTTCTGGAAATGGGATGAAAAAGCAAGCAAGTTGCTGGTATATCAGCTAAGACAAAAGGCCTCTGTGTGTAGAATCATGGTCTTCTGTGATAAACATGGTAAATTACATACATTGCCCAATGAGATTAATAAATAGTTCTTTAATTTCTACAAAGATCTGTACAAACCGATCCACAGATGATTTGGATCGATTTTTTCCAAAATATTACATTACCACAAATTACTGCAGCCCAGTGTGGAAAACTTGATGCTCCCCTGAGGATGATTTAAGTGAGGTGATTAAGAATATGAAAGTGGAGAAAGTCTCAGGCCCAGATAAGTTCCCCACTGAATTCTATAGACACTTCTTTGAACTTCTGTCTGGCAAGATAATTGAAATGTTTAATGAGTCATTTCTAGAAGGCACCCTTCCTCATATGCTGAGGGAAGCCCTAATATTAGTTATTCCTAAATGAGGAAGAGATGGTGAGATGCCACACTATGCAGGCCAATTTCCTTTATTAATAGTAGTATCAGAATACTGTAGTGGAAAAGTTCTGGGAATGAGACTGGAGAAGGTTTTGGGCTCTATCATGCATCCAAATCAGTTGGGTTTGTCAGAGACCTTCTTGGCTCTGATAACCTTTGACAAAGTTAATCATATCATACAATAGCAGTAAAATATGGTGACCCTGAACCACAAGCTGTTTTAGCCTTAGTTGCAGAAAATGCTTTTGAGAGGGTAAGCTGGAGGTATATTCTGTACTCTACAAAAATTTGTATTTGTACCCCTGTTTAGTTCCTACATCCAACTGTTATATTTTTTTCCCAACCTCTCACCTCACAACCAGCAAAGTGACCTTGAATATTTTCAGCCTCTGCAGAGGAACTAGGCAAGTGTGACTGTTGTCGCTATTACTTTTTGTTTTGGCTCTTGAGGCCCTGGCAATATCTTTACAGTCTCATCCAGATATCCAAGGCATATAACTTGGTTCCATGTTGATGTTATATGCAGAGGGTGCCCTGTTGTATTAATTTAGATGGAATATGTAGACCCAAAGAGTCCAATGTGTTAACAAGACTGTGACGGGGCGTGCATACCCCGCACTAGGCAGTAAAGGGTTAATCCCACACTATGGGCGGAGGAAGTGCCACCCCTTAGACCAGACTGGGCATGCTCCAAATGCTGCACTAGTATAAAGGAGAGAAGACCACCTCATTCTGGGCTGACAGCCGGGGAGGAAGGACACTCGGTGGAGGCTCAAGCCTGGGAGCTGCTTCAGCCCCCGATTGCAGGAACCAGAGAGCTTGAGGCCCAGACTGGAGACCGGTTGCCCCCAACCAATTGACAGGAGTCGGAGTCCCAACCAGCTACCCATACCAAGGAACTCAGAGATTCTGATGACAAACAGACCCTGGCTTCGAGACTCACAGTAGGAAGTGGCCTAGAGGTGTGTAGTGAGTGGTACCTTGCACCTGAAGAGAATCAGTGTGTTGCAGTAGGATCCCCGCTCACTGGGTGGTGACCACACTCACCGCTGACAGGACCCTGGGCTGGACCCAGTGGAGAGGGAGGGGCCAGGTCCCCCTACCACCTCTGCTGCCACCCACCCCTGGGTGGTGGTCCACTTCTTTGACTCTGGCTACTAGGCCACACAGCCCTGACCCCAAAGGCAGTGCTAGTGACTCTGGCTACTAGGCCACACTGCCCTGAACCCAAGCGTAGCTGTGTTGAATCTGACCACTGTGTCTTATCGTGGTGAGGTCTGAAACACTTGGGTAGACGGTTACGTGGTGTCAGCACCCCCATCGCCTGCTGCAATGGGACAGGGAGTGCATACACCGCTACAAAGACCCAGTCACTGTCCAACATTAAACAGTTTTAAACCAGGTTTGGTACACAGAAATGCTTAGCACCATGGCAAACACCATTAAAAATCCTTTCATTAAAGACACAGAAAGGAAGACAAACAAAGTATTTGAAAAGTAAAATATTAAGTAAGGCTTTCGTTTTAACAACATTTCTTGTTCCCTTTCCCTGTATCTGTAGCCAGTCTTTAAAGGAAAAACACAAACAAAAACAAACCAATGTAAACCTTGTTTGACAAGATGGCAACTACTGTCCTTTAGGGAAAAGACAAGTTAGTTGAGATTGGCTGGAGCTGTTTTTGTTGCTATTGCTACTATTGCAAAAGTCTGATCTCATTTCCTAGAAGACAAAACAAGAAAAATGTGCACAAAAGGGGAAAGAAAATAAGAGTAAAGTCTTTGGTATTGACTTTCACTTACAACCTCACTTTTGGAGAAACACAGGAACAGAATATGGTCTTACCTGCCACTCTGAGACCTGGCAAACTTGTGCTGTACTAGCATCAGGTTGCTTAGGGCATGGTATTTAGCTGCCTATTTCTGGTTACAGACTTTCAGTTGCACAATATGCAATCTTGGCCAGTGTTGGGATTATTTAAAATTACTAATATGGGAAACCTCCACTTTTCCCATTTGTTAGATCTCCTACTTTGCAAACATATCTTTGTACAATTGAAGTTCTGCTGGCATGTTGTAGTCCTCTCTGCCTGTACAGGGAGAAATAACCTGATATTCAGAGTACTCGTAATCCTCTTGTGAGACTGAGAGACATGAACAAAAGGTATCTATTTAAAAATAATCAGCAGTAGTGAATAGGAAAAGTCAATAGAATGTTGTATCGTTTAAAACTCCCGGGGCTTAAAAAACAACAAAAACAACAACAACAACAACAACAAAAACCGTCCATCAGAAGACAGTAGAGGATAAGGAACGAGAAAGGGCGACACGTTTTTCAACGGCTTTTGAGAACCCCCTTCAGATAATATTCACCCAGGCTTTCCAAAGATATGAAGGTTCGTACTAAATTGGTGCCGTGTAGCCTTTACGTTGCCATGTTTGCACATATAACATCGTTTTCTAAGTATTGCCCCCGAGCCCCCGTTTTCATATACGCAATTCAGAAGCTGAGCCCTTCCCAACATAAAACAATGATTCCTGCCTCTGAGGTAGAGGAATGAGTTCCTTTCTCTGCAATGGGAAAGCAGGCTGGTTTTGTGAGCGATTAGTCCTGCAGTCGTTTTTATGCATTAGTCACACTATTGCATGTACTGTGAAAGGAACAGTAAGAACGAGCATACCACCCAATGAACAAATTTAACAAATGGAAGAAAAGAATGCGGTGTCCTGCTTTATCTTCTGATGAAATAAATGTGCACTTTTCATTCATATTAACCCTCC